ATCCATCATCTGTTGCAGCCGCCGCTGTCAGTGCCGCAGGGTGTCCATCATTTCCTCATTGTACACATCTCTCCCTATGACCCAGGTAGTCGTCGTCCCTTTTGTGCGCCAGGACGCTATCAGGACTGCATGAGCCGCACTGTGATGAACGCCCTTCTGTGTTTTTGACACGTGGACAGCAATGCCATGCCCTCTGTCAGGACTTCTTTTACCTGATGGGTATCCTCGTGAGAAAGGGCATGGCATTGCTGTCCACGTGTCAAAAACACGTGGACAAAAGCAACACTAATGCTGTGGTAGCCTTTCTGCTGAATGCTGTGCAGTGTTGAAGTAGCTCTTCCAGATGGGTATCCTTGTGAACATCCACGTCATCCTCCTCAGCGTGCCTGTCCTATCTGTCGGGGTGGGGTGGGGGCTCCTCTCCTCTTCCTGACCGATCAATAGTAAAGTCAAGCAGGTCAGGAGCTAACACTAATTATTGTAGGACAGAGATAAAGCTATACAGATACTACCAACAGATGTGGAAATGGAAGGAAGAAAAAAAAAAAAAAAACCCGAAAAAAAGAAAAGAAAAAAAAGAGAAAAAGAAAAAAAGGAAACAAATTTCTGAAGAAAAGAAAAAAGAAAAGAAGAAAAAAAGGGGGAAAAAAAAAATGTTGAAGTTTGTTGTGATCGTGGCAATTGGTTTATTTATCTGTGGGATGTGTCATTTGCTTTGTTTGACTGATATAGAACTTCCTTCCTCTTCCTTTTGTCTTTTCTTTGATCTTTGATTGGATCTTTTTCTCCTTCTCTCCTTCTCTTGCGTCTGTGAGGTTCTGGTTTCCTCCTCCGTTTCTTTACCTTTTTTTTTTTGCCTTGTTGGCTGCGTGCAAGTGGGTCCTTGTGACACACGGGGATGGATGGGGGCAGCCAGCGCGCAACCTGTCATCCACGTGGCTGACCTTGTACGTAAGAGGTGATGAGCACATATGCGGAGCTTTCCTTCCTTTTTTTTTTTTCCTTTTTTTGTTTCGTCTTTTTCGGCCTTTGCGGTCCGATTCACAGTGTGACAATATATATTTTTCGCTTTGTTTTTTTTTCGCTTTTTAGCTCTGATAACTCTGTGACGATATATATATTTGTGACAATATATACAGTCTGTAGAGTTTTCCATCTGGTGTGGGTGAGTGATAGTCTACTTTGATTTTGGTTAAGGTGGATTATCATTTACAGTGTAATCAGTGAGGAGATTCTGCAGACTGTTAGGGTTCAGCCTCCTGATGAGTCGGTGAAACTCCGACGAAACAGTTTGTCACAGCCCGTCGTTTGTTGTCCTCTTCTCTCTCTCTGCCTACGGTTTACCGGGCAGTTCTGTTTGTGACGATATATATAATATATATATAAATAATATCTATCTGTATAATAATATATATGAATATATGACTATATAAATATATTATATTAATATACGCATTCCCTCGTTTGTTGTCTTCTTCTCCCTCTCTGCCTTCGGTTTACGGGCCAGCTCTGTTTGACGATATATGACGATATATATATAGAAGATAAAAAACTGAATTCATTTTTTCCCCTTTTTTTTTGTTTTTTCCTTTTCGTTCGCATTTGCGCTCTGATACTTTTGTGACAATATATAGATAAGTGTTTTATTTTACAGCGGAGTTTTTCCCCTTTTGTACACGGCGGATATTTGGACAGCCAGGGAATCAGGGTACAATCCTCTTTTTTTTTATTTTTTAATAATAATATCGTAAATGAGGAAGCCCGAGGTCACAACTGAAATGGTCGCTTTTTAAAAACTGAAATTTATTTATTTTGACCATTTCTCGATTTACGCGTGTCATCCTTCGAAGCGGAGGGCTAGTTATTTTGACCAAAATAAATAAAAAAACGAAGGGCTTGAAATTGTTAAAATAAATAGCCTTCCTCAGGGTATTTGAGGGCTTGAAATGGTCAAAATAAATAGCCCTCCTCAGAGATGTAAATGGTCAAAGCAGATTACCACTCACCCACGGAGGTTCTGTGTATCGTTTCAAATTTAACGGATGTCCGGAAGGACAAAGGAGCTTTTATTTTTTTTGGGGGGGGGGGGGGGGAAGAGGGGGGGGATGAGCCAGCTGAAACGGGGGTCTTTCTAGGGGGAAAGGATAGTTTTTTTTCCCAAAGAAAATAGTGATAATATTTATTAAATTAATATAACTAATACAATATTAATGTAGTAATGAAATGAAATGTACTACGGCTATTTTCTTAAATAGCGGATATTTTATTATTTTCATAATAAAACGAGTAGAGGGGTTGCTTATTAGTAAGATAAACGAAAATCGAAAAAACTTATTAAAATAAACGAAAATCGAAACTTATTAAAATAAACGAAAAACGAAACTTATTAAAATAAACGAGAATCGGAACTTATTAAAATAAACGAAAATCGAAACATATTATAATAAACGAAAATCGGAACTCGTTAAAATAAACGAAAATCGAAACTTATTAAAATAAACGAAAATCGAAAAAAATTATTATAATAAACGAAAATCGAAAATCGAAACTTGTTAAAATAAACGAAAATCGAAACTTATTAAAATAAACGAAAATCGAAACTTATTAAAATAAACGAAAATATTATCTTGGTTTCAGAGCAGAAGATTGGGTGGGTTAAGGGAAAAAAAACAAAAAAGATAAGTGGAGTTGGCGGAAATGGCGCTCCGAGCACTGTAAATAATAGGAAATAGAAACTCCGACGAAACAGTTTGTCACAGCCCCTCGTTTGTTGTCCTCTTCTCCTTCTCCCTCTCTGCCTACGGTTTACCGGGCAGTTCTATTTGACGATATATATATCGTCACAAACAGAACTGCCCGGTAAACCGTAGGCAGAGAGAGAGAAGAGGATATATATATATTTATATATATTCATATTTTTGTGACGATATATATATGAATCTTTTTGGGGGAAAACTAAAGTAATAAGGTTCGTTTTTTTGGGGTATAACGGATATCTGAGCGGGGCCTTGTATTGCCCACTAACAAAGAGGATCAGACTAAGCACCTGAATCTGGATGGGTTATAAGGAGAGATGCAGGAAAAAAGTAGATCTATCCCGGTTTTCTGCACCTCTCCACAAACACGACCAGGTTCAGGCGTTGAATCCAATTCTTTTTTCTTGTGGGAACTTGCCTTTGGCGTTAGTGCGGGCCTTTCCATCTCTTTTTTTCTTTTTTTTTGAAGTATAAAAATTCCCCCCCTTCACCTTAATTTTCATCTTTTTTCCCTGGAGCTGTATGTTTTCTGTGGAGGGCCGCAGCTATACGTTGCTTCGTATATCATTGCTAGTTTTTTTTTTTTTTTTGGCCAGTCTCCATGTATATGACGACATATAACTTATATTATTAATATATATGTAAATATTATACATGTATGTGACGATATATGTATATATAATATATATGAAACAGTTTGTCACAGCCCCTCGTTTGTTGTCCTCTTCTCTCTCTCTGCCTACGGTTTACCGGGCAGTTCTGTTTGTGACGATATATTATTATATATCTCATCAAACAGCACTGCCCGCTTAAACCGTCGGCAGAGAGGAAGAAAAGGACAACAAACGAGGGACCGTGACAGACTGTTTCGTCAGACGGTATAAACATATATAAAATAGAATTAAAAAATGAAAAAAAATGCAAAATAAAATTTATCAGAGGCCTTGCTGCCATTCTGCCAGGGTTCTCTAAAAGCCAGAGTCCCGTAGCCCGCGTCATATTTCTACCCCTTTTTTTGTCGTTTTTTTTTTTTCTTCACTTTCTGTTTTTCCCTCAAAAAAAAAAAAAAAAAGCCTCCCTGCCCCTCCCTGTGGAGGCGGTGCATGTGTATTGTGACATGTTAGTGATGTTTTTTTTTTTTTTTTTTTTTTTTTTTTTGAAGGGGATATTAAAAAAGAGAGAGTCTGCTTAGTTTCGGAACGAGAAAAGGTTGGTTATTTCCTGGATTTATTAAGAAAAAGAAAAGGTTGGCGGTTTAAAAAACAAAAAAAAAAACGAAAAAAACAAACAAACTGCAGGTGAGTTATTTCGGCCCGTCATCCCAGAAAGGACCCCTTTAAAAAAAAAAGGACCCCATTAACTACGGGCTGACGCAGTAGACTGTAGAACCATTGCACATTTTTTTTTATCGGGAAAAAAGTTCAAACCCCCCTTTTTTTTTTTTTTTCCAAGAAACCCTCGTCAACTGGAAAGAAATCTGTCTTCTCGCGGCACACCCCCTAGCCTTTTCTGGATGTACCTGGTCAGAAAAATGCAATAAAATCGCCAAAAAAAAACCGCAATAAAATCGTCAAAAAAAAAACGGAATAAAATCGCCAAAGAAAAAACGCAATAAAATCGCCAAAAAAAAAGGCAATAAAATCGCCAAAAAAAACGCAGAAAAGGATGTATCTTGCCTGAAGAACGCAAAAAAAATCGGCCCAAAAGGGCATTCCGCTCTACCCACATCTTTCAGGGGCATTTTGGCATATATACGGGGGGTATTTTGCAAATTACCCCTTGATTTTTTTCATTTAAGTCTTTTCAGATGCTCTTTTTTCCCTTTCCACCCCGCCTTAGATGAACCTCGTAATTTTCCTACAATCAATTTCTGACCATCGATTATGAAAAGCTCAACGGCAGATAGATGAGTCTGCGTAAATGGGGAATTCCCCTGGGCAGTGGGTGTGACTATTGTTGTGGGGATTTTCTTTTTTCCCCTTCGCCCCCCCCCCCCTCTCCCAGTACTATATATCTGCTATCATTCAACAACCCCCCCCACCCTCGATGATGTGGTCAGACTAACTGTGAACTGTCTCTCTCTTTTGCCCTCCCCTTTCCTGCGTGCCTCCCCCCTTCCCCCCCCCCCCCCCCCCCCCCCCCCCCCCCCCCCCCCCTCCCCCCCCCCCCCCCCCCCCCCCCCCCCCCCCCCTTTTCCCCTGGTCAGCCTAACTGAGAAACAAATTGTACACTTTGTGTTTGCAGGGGCCACAATATGTCTGTTCGAATTTCTCAATTTTTGTTTGTACAGCATGCAGCGGAGTTCAGTTAAGTGTCTTCTCTCTCTCTCTCTCTCTCTCTCTCTCTCTCTCTCTCTC